TGTTCTTTACTTTCCGTTTCCCCTGTTTGGTTTAAAGGGCATATCACTATTGGACATATTTTCATTCTTTCTAGGGGCTTCAGCAAATGGAGGAGGTTTGGACATGCTTTGGTTCGGTAGCTCCGTTAGGTGGTGCTACTTTCCTGGCACACCACTTCCAGCGGCGTTCTTGACGTGTTTGAGGCAAGATCCGATCGATATTCGGGCCACGCCGCATCGCACCAGCATAGCTCGATCCATGGGGGGTTGAAATGCAGTTGCCGGGCCAGCAGGATTTTCATAGTGGCATTTCTTTTCTTCTGTTACTTTTATGTTGGGTGTGTGTGTGTGTGTGAGGAGAGTTGTGGGCAGAGCCGCTTTAGAAGCACGAGTGGCTGAAAGTAGCAGACACCAATCAATCACCAACGGCAAGCAGCCTATATATTTGGGTTGAAGCAGCACTTTCGCAACTTGCCCTCAACTCTTCTTATTCGTACCACAGATCAGTTGCCGGGATAGAGATAGTCACATGTCTCAACCTGAGCATTCAACATGGGCTTGGCAGGACACCATACCGCTTGGACCAGACCTGGCAAAAGCTGCGGACCTTGCGAGGCAGGCTAAGTGGCTTGGGTACTCACCAGCCCGAGCAAGGGAAGTGAAGGGCACAACTACTGGTTGGAATGCACCCTGCTGCACAGCTCGACGAGCATCATGCAAGTGTATGATAGCTCGAGTGCATGAGCAGGCGCGAGCCTCATGAACGCTAGCGAAGGCGTGGCGCCGAACTGGAACAGGCATAGGAAGGAACGGGCAAGAAGCAAGTCGCTCTGACCTTGGGCCCAAGTTTTTGTGCGGATTGCATTGGCACCAACGGAAGCATCAAGGATGCATTCGAGCTCATTGAAAGTGCCAGGCTCTTTGAACGTGCGCCATTCCGAGCTCCAGCTTGTCGCCGAATCCTGGCTGCCGCCTCGTTGCTTGCGTTCCGGGGGGTGGCTGGGTCAACCTGAGGGAGAAATGAGAGATCGAGACATCAGGGCTCCGCTGAGGTCAAGGAGATGAGCGAGCGCGTTCTTGGTCCTTGGGCACCTCTCTCCGCCAGAGAACGTGGGTGAGGCGAGATGCAAGCAGCTGCTCAGACAGCGATCGGCAGTGGCGCCGCGCCGGGCGTCGGCCAGAACCGAAAAGCCTCCCAAAACGGCGATTCGGGATGCATGAACGCTTGGCAAGCAACCGTGGCGAGGGCACTCAAGCTGCAAAAGCGAGCATTACTAGCAAGTATCTTTTCCTCCGGATAGTTTCGACATGGCCGCGCCAAACGTGATATGGCTGCTTGGGCTCCAGAATGTCACGCGTTTTCTGAGAACTACAAAGCCTCGCTTTCAGGACCCGGTCAAGCTTTTGCGATATGGACTTTGACTTTGATCGTGGCTTATTTGCAGGCATGATGCTTTACTTGAACTTTTGACCCAACATTGGCTGATAGTGGCTGCATGATTGCATGAAATGATTTCCACCACCGCCGAATTGAAGGACTACGTGCTGGAAGCTGGCGCCGTCGGCAAGTTGTAGTGCCGGCGGTATGACCGAAGTCTCTGGGGGTGGCAGCAGCATCACATTGCTTGGCAAATGAAGTGCGTACATTGACACAAATTGTCGATTTGTTCGTTGGAGAGCCCGCGCGCTTGTAATTGAGCCAATCACCATCCAGCCTGCAGGATGTGCTGTGTTTGCTGATCAAAACGGACAGCTTTGCCCCTTGGAGCAAGGGTCAGTGCCTGCAAGCTCTCCGCTTGCCAGGCCATGGCAATGCTTTTCCTCCCTTTTATGCAGCTGGTCCTGCTGGCGGCGGCACGCAGGACATCCCAGGATGGGCAAGGGATCTATTTGGCACCATGAAGGACAAGGTGTTTTTGCGCATGGGGGGGGGGGGAAAACACTTCTACCTGTGTATCAGTGAGCGCCAACAACATGCGACAAAGGTGCCTGAACCATGGCATGTGGTGAGGCGGCCATCCCACGAACACCAAAGGTGCCGTCAGCTGTTTCCGGGACCTCTTTGAGTGAGCCGTTGCTTCGTGCCAAGTTGCTTTCCAGCTTCACAGCCAGCCGCTCGACGCAGGGGGAGCATTCGCTGAAGACTGATGAGGCCGCTGAGTGTGACTTACGTGCGTTGTGCGCCTTTTTTGTATCATGTTCTGGCCAAGCCTCGCGCAACATGCATTTTGCTTCTTGGTTTTGTCACAACCTTTTATGAGCTTCTTACCGCATAGCTTGCTTTGCCCCTGTGCATGGAACAGACGAGATCTTTGTGAGGCCGCAAAGGATCATTGCTGCTGCAAGAAGGGGCTTTGCGAGCCAGGCCACAACTCTACGGCTGCTTGCCAGCACGGGATCTTGTTGCCCAAGTGCCATCTTCAAATTCAGCCAAGCTGACCTACAGTATTTCCATGGCCATTTGTCAACAATGAAGTTTTGCAGGACTCCACAAGCTACAGTGCTGTGCTTTTCTTCTTTGAGTCATTGCGGTAGCGCTGGCCCGGCTGGCCCCATCTGGGGCTTCATGGCGCATGCGCAAATCCCAGGAGGAGATCTATTCGCCGAATGATGACCTGTGCTGCAGGCAGAAGTGTCGGGCTTTTTCCATGGGAGCCCCGCGCGGGAAAGAAAAAGCGCCCTTTTTTGTGGACTTCAAAAGGCGCAAGAAGGACGATGCGCCGAAAGGTCCGGGCATGTTTCATTTATTGTAGGGGAACTTCGCACCCCATTTCATCCACTGGGCATGGTCCGCTGTTCATTGAAGCGAACTTTGCTCCTTGCAGTTTGTCTCCGAACTTCCCGTGAGTGCGAGGTTCAGAGGCGGCCCCTGCGGTCGCTTGTTCTCGTTCTCCTACTTCACAGCAGATGCACCAGCCACAGGCGGGCTTCAGGGTGGACCCATTCGAGCACAGTTGGTACGCGCGCATCAATGTTAAGTTGGGTAGTTTCTTTTTCTTTTTTATTTTATTTTTCTGGGTGCTCCATAAACAGTCCACAATTGATTCCATACACATCACCGTGAAGAGAGAGAGAGAGAGAGAGAGAGAGCGAGGGAGAGAGAGAGAGAGAGAGGGAGAGAGCGAGAGAGAGAGAGAGAGAGATTAGCATCAGGATACATTGTACATTATACTGAATTGCCAAGACGGTGCACATGGCGAAGGGATAGATTCCATCCATGTTGCTCATGCCAACATCAGGCTACACGTTCCAATTTTTCGGTAACATTGGACATATTTTGTAATACGAAAGCATTCCTGAGACGCTTGTTTTCCCAGCTTTGACTGATGAGACTGCTTTACATCGCTTGCTCAGGCTATTGCCGGGAAGTGCCGCACGTTGTGTACACAGCGCCCGCCGTTGTGCAGGTGGCAGTGTATTTTGTGAATGGACGCGTTTTCATGTGGACTTGACTGGAGTGCTATGCCATGTAGGGGGTTGATCAAAAGGTCCTTGACACGGGATGACCATTGGGAAAACCACTAAACAGAAAAACATGTCCCACGAAATTGTGAAAAGTTACGTATGGTCACGTGGGGGACGAACGGATTATTGATCACCCCCCTTGCGTTTGTGTTTGTGCATCATATCCTTAAGTTCTACTGTTCCACCTGAGCTTTGGCGAGAGCCTACCCGCCTTTCGGCCATCAAGATCAAGGGCTGGACTTAGGTTTGACGTTTTCGAGGTTTGCCACAAAGGCTGGCTCGCCGTTGGCGCCAGAACGGTCAGATAATCACGCGAGCCTCACGTGTCAAAGCTGTTCGTGTCAGGCGCCGGCACCTTCTGCATTGACACCTGGGCATCCGGCGCACACTGCGCCCAGGCTTTGGTTTCAGTGACTTGACCAGGCTTTGGGTAGAGGGACAAGCTATGCTCCTTGGAAGTTTACACACGGTGGGGTGGATGCCAGTTTCAACTTCACTGGGCCATATCTCGGCGTGCCATCTCATGCATTCCGATGTTGTGTCCAGCTGACTGGAGTATGGGAGATAATGGCATACATGTGATAGGAGGGGACTTGCTCAGTGTCCAAGAGGCAAGCGCATGACTGAGGTGCAGACTTACTGCGACCTGGGACGCGGAGCAACTGGGTAGAAGGCGCTGTTTGGTCGAGGGCGCTAAAAGAATTGGGGCCAAGAGCCTTTGTAGTGAATTTTGGAATTGGTGGGCCAGTTGTCTCCTGCTAGCTGAAACCTGGGGCTGGGCAAGGAATCTCGGGTAAGCGCACCACATGCCAATCAGCCAAGGAGCTCACCCAAGATGAGAGATCTGCTGAGTCATCCCAGAAGTTGGGCGCCAAGAGCAATATCATGCAGACCATGGTCAACGAGATCACGAAGAACTCGATTGCCCCGGGCTCAGCGCTCCGCAGATCTGCGCGCTTCGGGCAAGCCCCGCGGTTGCCTGGACTTTTGCTTGGATTGCTATCAAGTATTCCCTTGTTGCGGAAGGAAGCCTTACTCGGCGCTGGAAACCAGAGCACGCCTTTGTCTGGTGTACGGCGAATTTGCGGCCTCCAGGCATTCGGCTCAAGCAGTTTGCGCTCAGGGATCGGCGTCGAGGGCTGACTCAAGGCTTGCGGCCATGGTGAAACCAAATTTGCCCAACTCGGCCGTGGACCATGTCAGAAGATGGTTCCAGGTTCCAAGCAGGTGGTGTCAAGAACGCTTGAGTCAGCCTGGCACCTTGGGTGGCCGAAATTTCAGCTGCGAGCCTTTCCCTCGATGGCATGACTGAAAGTTGACGCAGCAGCATGGAGTGGTGACTGGCGGACTTGACACGTGGCAAATCAACCGAGCCAATGAGACTTCTTTTTGAGCGCCCTGAAGATCTCAGGCGGTAAGATTGTAGCAGCTGGACTCGGCCTTGTTTTTCCATCAGTAGCAACGGTGCCATGAGTGTTAGTGCCTGAAGTGTGCAGTGGACGGTCTGAGAGCCAGCTGCGCACCGTTCTTTTGCTGGCCTTGTCGACAAGCGCTCCTCAGCTCACGCAACACTCTTTTGAGCTCTGGCGGTGGAGACAGCTGGGCAGCCGTTGAGCTTCCACACCTCTGTGTATGTTCAGAGATGTGCGATGATGGCAACTTGATACTGATGACGTGGCGAAGGTTTGTTTCAGCACAGACAGGGGTACAAGCTGGGCCCGCCAATTCAAAGACCGTCTCTTCGGGCGGCAGCGATATTGCAGTGGGCTAGAGCAAAGCTGCGGAACTGGTGCTACGAGCCAGTGGCGATGCGTCCGATCTCGACTATGGTGCAGAAGATGGAGGAGCTGGACAGCTGCGCAGAGAAGCCGGAAGACCTTCTAGCCAAGTTCCGAAGCTGAGACGCGTAGCTCACTCCATTGTCAGAGGGCGACTCGGGTAGCTGACAGAGCGCAGCGAAAAGAAAGATCAGCTCAGCTTTTTAGATATCTAGAGAACAAGCGAAGTTCCTACATGGTCCGGGGGGTGGGCAAAGCCAACCGTTTTGAGGACACCATGGCCAAGGAGATCTTCTCCATCTACCTGTGCTCTCGTTGGGCTCCCAGCTCTGACTTCACTCAGATCTTGGAGGACGAGAAAGCAGCGAACCAGCTGCCCAAGGAAGAGCCCGCCGCGCTGTACAAGGACAGCCCTCCAGAGCTTCACTCATGGCACATTGTGCTCGCAGGGAGTGGTAGCATCATTCTATTTTCGAGAACTAAGGAACCGGTATTTGGGTGTATATCGCTATCTTCGGACTTATTAGTCGGTCTCAGCAAGCATGCATGTTGCTCCCCCTACCAAGGATTTTGTCTCGATTTCTGAGCATACGAATGCATGACATATGTGTATTGCGTGTATGTTGAGAAAAATAACGCGGATGGGCCGAATCAGCTGGGGAGTTCAATTCACAAAGATTCAATGAATCCAGCAAAAAAAGGCCGCACACAACAGTATGTCATGCACGTACATGACTGCTTTGTGCCCGTTCTTGTGCAAAAAGGCGTTGTTAGATTAGTGTTACAAGCTTTGTAAATATGGCAGGGTCCACATCATTTTGAGAAGCCCACAATTCACAGAAGAAAGCTCACTACTTCAAGCTCTATTCCCTATAGCTTGTTGTTCCGAGAAAGCTCTGAAAAAGCATCAGTCCACATCCCGAGGGTGTTTCGGTCAAAATACAACCACCAGAGGACCGCAGGGTTTAGTCTTTGGTTTCATTTTCCAGGGTTCCATTGGTACGCATTTTTGAGCCATAGCCAACTGATCTCACTTTCTCTTTCGCCCGAGGAGGGCCGCTTCATCCCACTGCGCTGCAGTGAGAACTTCAAGGTCTTCAACGACGTGGGCCTGGGGGAAACCAGCTTCCAGGCGAAGTGGACGGGTTGCTTGGGGCCTTCGGTCAGCGGAAGGGGATCCGAAGAAAAACACGCCACCCGTTTCAAGGTGGGACAGGGTTCCCAAAGAGAGTTCACAGCTCAGAGTGTGAAAAGTGGGACCTTTGAAACTGATTGGCAACTCGTGACTCCAGAAGATGGCGGCGCAACCTTACGGCATTCCGTGCCGTGCCTTGTTTGCGCTTCCCGAAGCTTGGGACCAGAAGTTCGCTCGCCGGGTTGCAGCTTCCCAATAGCTCCACGCCAACTCTACGCCGTGTGCATCTGGTGCTTTTCGCGAAAGGTCTTTGAGGAGCAGGTGCGGTCGCTGGCTTCTTGGTACGAGGCGGAGAAGGATGGGGCGGTGGCCGCCCGCCTGGCGAAGCTGCGAGGCGCGGAAGGGGGCGTGTCTGCGGCGGGTTGGGTATGGGTCAAAGCTGAACCAGACCGCAGGTTTTGGTCCATTCCACTCAGGGTTCCCTTTGGGGTACTGATTTTTGACCGACCGCCAGTTTTTGTCAACTCAGTGGGGCTTTTGACCTGAAGTCACCTCTGCCCAGAAATTTAGGCCAACCCAGTTGAGCTCACTGGTTTCATGAAGGGTCCACTCAGCGGAGGTTGAGCTCACTGACTGGCAGGCGCAGAATTTGCAGAAGCCGCGGCCTTTGACATCCCGACGGTGGTGAGCCTTGGGAAGTCCTTTCAATGGGCACTGGGGGATTATGGTTGCCTTCTCAGAAGCCAGGGAGTAATCATGATACTGGTGAGGAATGTGTGCTTGTGTCTTTTGCAATAGGCCGTACTTTCGTGACATTGCTTGTCCATGTCCAGGAGTAGCTGGGCGACACACCCTGCAAACCCAGCCAGAGCATGAAGCAGATTGCACCATCGTTTGCCCATTTCCGCATCAGAGAGAATCCTCTCCCCAGTGCTTGGTATTGATGCTGAACACAAAGGTTGTTGGATTGGGCGGGCCCCCGCTCCTTGCGAAGTTAATACATCGATCAATGAGTGCCCAATGGATGGTGTTTGAGCCAATGGCTCCTTTTCCACACCAGACGCGCAATACATGGCGAAGTTCTCCGAAAGGTTTGGGTTCGGGACTATCGCCCAGAAATCTGCACTCGGGTTTCTACCACACCTCAAATGTTTGTTTCTTTGCTTTTTCAGGGTAACAAATTGGGGTTGGTTCAAAGGGACACCCAAGCCACCCCGAAGAAATCCACATTTTTTTGTGGCGTCGAGTTCGCCACACACAGGCAACGGCGCCGAGCGTTTCGCGCGAACTCGGCCCAGGAAGGCGCTGGAGGGCTGCGAGGTCAACGAGACCCTGCCGTGGGATCTGTCGGTGTCGGAGGCCTCCGGCGCCCAGCTGCTGAAGAACTGCCGCGCGGGGAAGTGGTGGCTGGGGAAGCTCACAGATTGGCAGCGCTCCTTGACCAAATCAGATGCGATCAGCTTGCTGCGATAGACTTGTTTGCTTGGAAGAGGGGGTCAGGGCTGAGAGAGCGCAGAGAGTCGGGGCAGATGGGTGAATGTATTGCGAGTGGACTTGCTCTGCGTGTATTGTCTTGCTCCTCGAGTTTGCGATATTTCTTACAGGGATTCTTTTCTGCGAGGAATAGGGCATTGTTCAAGCAGTGCCCTTTTTCCTATGAGACAGAGCCAAATACGGGTGACCGGCATGTCTCTTTCTGTGAGCCGCACATGTCCATTCTTCCGCGACAGAGAGCCGGTTCTGTAGGCGCCATGCCCTTCACCAGCTTCATGTCGCCGGATGAGGAGGCAGCCAAGGTTGCCCCGCAGGGCAAGGCAGGGCTCCGGCGTTTTTTACGCGTACGCGTTGCCCCGCAGAAGGGACGTGGTTCGCAGAAAGCACCAGCCAGGGAGCAAGCGTGCGACGACCCTCCCACCAAGGAACCAGCATGGAACCTGACAGGGTCAGCACCGATGGGTTCGCAGGAGCAGATCCTCATGTGTTTCGGCAAGCGGGTGGCCTCGCAGCTGCACCGAAGGGAAGGCCGGATGCTGTGTCTTATTGGTCGCCCGTGATTCATTGCTTGTTTGAAGTTGTGAGCTGTCTTTGTTCGTTTGCATTGCTTCAGCAAGAGTCCGTTGAATTGCATCGAGCTCAGCAATTGCAAGTCTATGGGCAGATGGGAGGCGATTGTGCTTTCTGAAGTATTGTCGAATGCACCTCTCTCTCTCTCTCTCTCGCTCTCTCCCTCCCTCCCTCCCTCCCTCCCTCCCTCCCACTTTCAAGAGAGTCCAGCTAGCTGAACAGTCCATATCAAAGTCCAAACTTGCCAACAAGCAATCCCCCCCCCAAAAAAAAAGTCCTTTGTCGCATAGCTCGGAAGGCAGTTTGTTTGTCTTCTTGTTCTTTTCAACAACGCCGCATGGCTGATTTTTTTAAAGGACGAGCCGGGTCCAAACGAAGCACCTGGCTGCAAAAGAGAAACCAGACGCGGCTGTCCAAACGATCCCACGGAGAGCCCCTGGCCTGCGTGCTGGTCAGGTGGGCAACACCTGATGACGGATCAGAATGCTATTGGATGCCATGGCTCCTGAGCGTCCAGATGCCAAGTCTCCTTTTCTTTTTTAATCAAGGGGGGCTCCGTCTGCCTTTGCCCAGGGTTACGTTTGGTCTCTGCTGCTTCTTTTCTGACCGGACATACTGTGGATGGACGAAATTCTGCACCACTGTGAAACCATGGTAAACCCACGGTTTGTTGGTATTTGCATGGGAATCATGATTCCCGGGTTTCTTAGGTGGTGCGAAATGGATTTCGCAACCATCCACAGTAAGCACCACTCTTTGGGCCAGATCCATGCCAGACCATAGACCCGATGTCCCGAGCCCGAGGCTTCTGGGACCTGGCCCAGGCGGGGAAGATGCTGGACCGCATCGTGAAGCTCTGGCGCCCCCCCACCTGTCAGCTCGCCAGCATGGAGCTGGACATGAAGGCGCCCCACCCCACCTCCCACCCCCACCCCCCCACCCACCCCCCCGCCCACCCGCCCACCCGCCCCTTTTTCTTCTCCATAGGCCGGCGGAATCATTTGGAGGATAAAAACCACCAGAAAGCCATCTGGTAGGGCGGGTGGTCAAAATTGAACCAGCAAACCGGAGCAGTGCCATGTTGGGGTTAGCCGTTTTTGACCCATCTCACATCGCGCAGGCAAGATGTTGGTGTGGGTCCAGAATAGGGTAACCCCCAAAATGGGTTGCCCAGCAAATGGAAACATGGACTACCACCTGCGGTTTTTCCTGGTGGTTTTATTTTTGACCCATACCCGCATTGCGCATGCAAGATGTGACTTCATGGCATCCAAAAGAGAGGCTTGCAACATAGGCCATGGAAATGCTTGGATGGGGCAAATAGCTGCAGTGGTGGCTCAGCCACTACATATTTCAACAGCAATTCCCAGTGCCGCGCCAGCGGGCAGTAGTTTCGGCCTTTCTCCAGCAACACAATTGGGCAGTCGGCGGTCATCACAGAGTGATTGAACAGAACTTAGGAGTTAACTCCATTCTTTCCAACCATCATTATTTTGACCACCAGGCTTTTTCCTCCAACATTTGTGATGGTTTTCTGGACAGACTCGGATCACTAAGTCAGAAAAAAGAGAGGTGAAGATCATGGAGCTGATTGCGAACATGAACTCGCGGCTCTTCGACGCGCTGCCCGCGCTCTTGACGGAAGAGCTGTCAGGTGCCGACTTCGACGGCAAGGCCTTGGCGGCATCCTCGCTGGGCTCCAGTCTGCTGCGTGGGGTGTGGGACACCATCACCCACAGCTTCTCCTCGATGCGGGGGCAGTACACACGTCTCGGCCAGCTCCTGGGCAACACGGTGGTGAAGTGGGCGGTGTGCCCCCTGAAGAACATCTCCCAGACGGAGGACCTGCAAAATTTGGACTCCGCCCTGGGCACGGAAGATGACCTCGCCAGGTACTATGCGGAGATCGCCTACGCCAAGTGGACGGGAAGGACGAAGTTGCTGCCTGGAGAGGAGTGCACCTCCAACCCGAGCTTGCCCAGCACCATGGCCTGCAGCATTGGGATTATGCAGCAGGACATGCCAGAGCCGTACAGGGACGACCAGTTCATTTGCCCGGTGAGGCCGTTTTTGCCTGCCAAGCAGCAACTTGAGGTCTTTCAGAAGAAGAAGGGCTTTTGCCCCCTTTCCATGAGCACAGTTCAGATGCGCAATGCCAGCTGGTTCTTCCGTGGGCGGACCCCACAGAGGAAGCAATATGACATGAAGGAAAACCTGCCCAAGAAGGACATCCAGGGTGTGAGGATCATGGACTTCAAGAGCCGCCAGGACACGGACTTCCACGTGTGGCGCTCCTTCGTCACCACCTCTTTGCAGTGTACGCTGGAGGAAGCCGAGGAGACTCCTCGCTGGTGCGCAGATCCCGAGGTCAGGAGTTTTGATGTTGGAAAGCGAATTGGGTATGGGTCAAAACTAAACCACCAGGGGACCGCAGGTTTTAGTCGTTGGCTCCATTTACCAGGGTCCAATTTTGGGTACCCATTTTTGACCCACAGCCAATTCTTGCCCTACCGCAAGCGTAACGACATGGAAGCGTTTGTGGTCAATGCACGCCTTTGAGGCTGCGGCTTGGACCCCTTGTTTTCTTTTTTCTGGTTCCTGAGGACTCCCTTCTCAAGAGCGGAGTGGTGTAATCCAGATTTGATGCCTGAGAAGCGTCGAGGCTTGAGACAGGGATTTAAAGTAGCCACAACGAAACGGGTAGGGCGGGGGGAAAGGAAAGAAGGGAAGGACAAGGAAGAGGAACAGGAAGGGCCAAGCAGCGGCTTTTCGGGGATGGGACAGCGGACAAGGCGGCTCTGGGGAATGGCTCTGAACTCCGAGGGCACTCTGCAATTTCAGGCAGCCCTTCTTAACCCTAGCACACCCGCTATGACTGTCAGAAAGCTCATGCGCTTTGCGGAGGTTTCCATTCTTTTCCCCATTCACTGTTTTTGTTCGTTTCGGGTATGTCTCCGGACTGTGCGCGGGTTTCACTCGGCAGGTCCACTACTCCCAGACTTCCATGAACGGCTTGGCGGATGGGGTGGGCCGCGCAGGCCGCGGCGCCGCTCAGCTGGTGGCGCACGGCATGCACCAGGCAAGGGGATCAACCCGAAAAGTCCCCCAGATCTCGGGGCATTTTGTTGGGTCAGGTGTTCTTTTGGCCTAAAAGAGATGGCCCTGGATTATGAGAACGGAAGCGCCGTCTTCCTCTAGCAAAACAACCCTATGCAAATATGGTTGGGCCCAGTCGGAGGGAGGCTATGCCAATGCCCACGGCGGCGTAGGACTCATTTGGGGACCTCGGCAAATCCGGCAAAACGTGACCTCACTGAGCCTCACTGGCACGAGGAAACCTGCGACCTTGAACTCTGAGCTATACAGCTTGACCTGAGAAAAGTAGGCCTTTGTCAAAGGGCCTCGTGTCTGTGTGAGCCCAGCAAGGCTTGTCTTTGACTTCCGTCACTTTTCTGGCGAGCTAGCGTCTCCTTATGGTGAATGAACAAAGACTTAAGATGGCGGACTTCTCAACGGCGCAAGGTAATGTTTAGAAGCCAGAGGCCATGAGCCGAGCGACAAACATACGGCTTGTCGAACTGACTGTGTGTAGATGAGGGATATCTCAAGATCAGATTCAGGGCGCCTGATTCAATTGTCAATGTCCACATGGGTTTGTGTCAAAATAGGGAACTGCGGGATTCCCCAAGATGGGTGTTTTCAACTTCGGTTTCCCTTTCAACCCAAAGGGCACCAACTCCAAAGCAAAAGATGGACACACAAACCCGTGAGAAGATGGTGCTAACCGCCCTGAACCAGGCGGGTGTAGGGGAGCAGCCGGTGGGCAACAGTGCCGCGGGCAAGACGTTGGCCCGGTGGCTCTACAGAAATGGGAAGGGCCTTCAGGCCTGGCTCAAGGACTGGGCATGGTCCATCTTGCTGACTGGATTTTAGCTGGTTGAGCCTGGTGGAGTTTAAGTCAAGTTTTGATTTCCTCTTTCGCGCAGTTGGACAGTCCGCTCGATTGTTTCTGGTGTTTTCTGATAGTGTCTAGTCAGCCGCTCGCAGGCTCCCCATGGAAGAAAGGATTCCGAATCCACCAAAGATGGACCAACCTCAATTCATTGAGTGGAGGGTTTATTAATCCGGGGTCAGCAAGTTGGTTGTTTCCTCGCGGTGTGTTGTCTTCTCGCCTTGCAAGCGCGCAGGAAAGCACCGGCAAAGCTTCCCAGCGCTACGAGAAGTTGCGGGAGCGCAGCTTCCAGGAACTCGAGGCAGGGGAGCTGGCGCTTCGGCGGCATGGCCCGGGTTGAAGCCCAACCCTTCGGGTCGACTCTTTGGGTATCTTAGAGACCTGTGTTGGTTGCAAACCTGGGTGATCTCTTCTCTCTTCTCTTTGTTTTTGCGAACTGCAGTGGCTGGATGAGCCCTGATAGCCAGCGGTTTCCCGGGCCCCAGCAGCAAAATCCGGCTGCTCCCAGCGGCTGCAGCAGCAAGCTCCTCATTTCATTCCATTGGAATTGGGGCGAAGGTGTTTGTGTTCTTTCTGCTTTGGGTGATTTAGCATGAGTGGACGGTGTACGGTATCACGTTTTTAAATGATGGGTGGTGATAGGCTGGAGCTCATACTTCGCAGACATTGGTCGTTGCACACTTAACAATGCACATAGCTCCAGGCACCAGCTCAATGATACACGGTACATTCAATATCAATGATGTGTGGCTGAACAACCAACCTCCGTTGTTACTGGGCGGTCTCAACAAACCTGTGGCAGGTCATGCGCAAACACGTTGCACCTGGCAAAACTTGACATGTTGCGCAAATGAGATCCCTGACCAACCTCTACAAGATCAAGACGTGCTTCTAGAAGAGGATGATCATCGCGGGGTAGAGTCCACACGGGTTTTGACAAATTGCGCTTGATGGCCGGCTACAGTAGCATGTTCGAGAGGAAAGAGCAAACTAAGAGGTTGCTTGGAATTGCACCAGAACTCAGGAAAAAGCAGGTAAAACTGTCATGAAGCCTTCGTAGCACCTATCCATGGCATGCAAGACGCACATGAGAGGTATTGATGTTTCCCTGCCGCGGCCCAGGTTCATAGCCTTTCCTTCCAGTCCGAGCTTGAGAGTACGGGAGCGGACACCAAGCGCAAGCAGAGGTACGACCGCTACGTGGTAGTTGCCCCTTGCAAGACCATGGACCCTGAGACGGAGTTCGACCTGAAGTACACCACCGCAGAGCATGCGCTCCAGCTGGCGCGTAAGGCGAATCAGAAGTTTGGCTCCGTGGACTCCTCGGTGCTCACCGTGGAGCTGGTGGGCTCTGCGGTGCTGAAGATGGGGGGCGTGAGCAACGCCTGGCTGGATTTCCACACCTTGATCCGTGCTGGCGGGGCAGAGCTGGGCGCCTTCATCGAAACGGCGACCCCGATCCTGGAGGGCCTCTCGGGGGTTTTGTCGGCCAACACCGGCGCCAGCCTGCGCGCCTCGGACCTCGTGGGCTTCCAGGCTTGCGTCGAGGGGCCCTGGTTTGTTTGCAGAATGGACGGCGGTCGGTTTGGTTTCGCCTGGACCGGTTTGCGGGGGAAGGATCCTGGACACCCGGCCAGGTGCAGTTCCGGTGTGGCACCCGGAAGGCGATGCATGACCTGCCAGCGCGGCCGGAGGTGGAGCCGGAGGGCCCAAAGTTCGCCACGTGCGTGGCCCAGGGCGCCGCCAAGAACAAGGAGCCCGTTCCGGGGGGGGGGGGGCTGGGACGCTGGGAGACCATTTGGCGGATGCCGTGTTTTTGCTCATATCGTGGTACGCCACGTTTGGCCCATCGGACTGATGGGGCTGGTCGGACAACCGCTAGGGAGCGCCGATCGGGCTCATCGGGCCTGGCAGCCACATGCGCTCGTCTCAAGAAAAATGAGGCTCGCTCGGCAAGAAGCACGGCTGCCACTTGTAAGAAGCTGGCAGGGACGTTCGTTTGAGACAGGCAGACTGGCACAAACAAATGTTGAGCATCATGAGCCAGCAGCCTCTTTGTTCCCTGGAGTGCTTAGCACGTTCGCTCTACTCGTATCAGACAACTACCCACCCGCAAGCAAGTACTCTTTGTTGTGTTTCTCAAACGCTACAACAGAGTGGAAAGTCCACAGTCTGCTTAGGTAATCCAAACCCGCCGTTTCCTGCTTTTGTTGGGTGCTATTTTCAGGGGTAAGTTTAGGAGACACCCATGCCTATTGTGACACTATGCTCCACGAGTTGTTTGGGTGTGGGGTGTAAAGATGAACACCTAAGAACCAGTTTGTGCGGCTATGCGGGCCCCAAGACACCCAGAAGCAAATCTGTTTGAGCGATCACACCTAGGTCCTAGACACATGCGAGTACCTTGTTTTCAGGGAGCCCGTTTGGGGTGACGCTCTCCATGCTTGAGGGGACCGCAGGTAACCCCGCAAAATGGTCGCCGCCCTTGAAAGCTATGGAGGGGCTTAGCAAATAAGCGGAGTACAGGGCAGCTGAGGTAGGTTCTTGGGAGAGGGTTTTGGACTGCGGAGGCTTCCGGAAGGTTCAAAAGCAAGGGGTTGCGGCAAAGGGCTCCGAGTTTGGAGAGGTTCCGGAGTTGGTGGATTCGGTGCGGAATGGTTCGGGCTCGGGTTCCCAAAGGGTTGCAGTGGTCGCTCTTGACTTTGTTCATTTTGAGACAGCCCTCAGACACATTGCAGCAACCCAAGAGACCCAAGAATGCAGATTAGAAGACAGTTTTTTCACACAACATGGCGTTCAACTAAGCATTTGATACAACCATTGAGCAACCCAAGGACCCCCAAGACTTCGTTTTTTTTCTCCGGGAACCCCGGTGCGAGGAGCTGAGGCAGGCCTCCCCCGGGGCGGCCTACTTGCGAGAGGAGGCGCTGAGAAAAGGGGCCCCAGGAAAACGAGCGATTCATCTCTTTTTCGCCTTGTTCGCCTTTGAGAGGAGAACTTTCTGGTGGTTTTTGTTGGCCCTTCCTTCCAGTTCGTAGGGTTTTTTGTTGTTGGTGTGTGTATGTGTGTTTTGGCGCCTCCCACTTTGAACTCGCAGCTGAAAGCGCTTGACGGCGAAGTTGATCTGCCTGAGGTGGTGGTCCGAGTGACCTTCCACTCCTCAGGTGTTTGTGGGAAGCAGCTGGACCTGGCCAAGCTGGGCAGCAGCAATGAGACCCAGAACCCAGTGTACCAGACCCTTGGTCCATACGGGCCGTTGCCCGACCCATTCCATTTGTTTTCTTCTGGCTTCCTGGGTGCCAGTTGCTATCCCGAAGTTAATCGTTGTTTTTTCAACCCTGCTGTTGTCTTTTGATAGCTGAGGACCTTCTCCGGCATCTCGGGTTGCTCTGGGGTGCCAGCAGCGGTCGCGAGCTCGCTGCCGGCAGAAGTGAAGCAGGAGATGGAGGCGGCCAACTTCCGGGGTCTACTGCTGGGGAGCGGTCTCCCGGACAAGACCCTCTATGAGGTCTTGGTGGATCCAGAGGAATTTCTGCAGGAAGTTCCACTGTAGAGAGAAGCGGCCTGACCATTGCTGGATATCCAAGTCTGGATGCCGCGGAAAATGACAGACCTTACATTTGAAGATGGTGACCATCGCATGGCTGCCGTGCTTGATGGCTTGAGCCTCGGCCGGATCAACCCGGCTTTTCGGCAGCCCTTGAGCGCTCATGATCGGTTTCACCGGTGGAGGAAAAACATGGATGCCTTTGGTGGGCGGCCATGCTTGGCTGTGACCTCGAAGATTGTCAGCTTGGGCTGCCAGGCTCAAAAGTTTTAGATACGTCATCATGACAGAATGGCATGGCATGAGTTGGCAGGTGTTTGTTTTTGTTTTTTTTAAGCAGGACATGTTGGAGACAGGGATTTGGTTGACACTCGCCGAAATAGGACATTGCGAAGCGCCACGAGCTGCGAGCTGCGTTTGTTTTTCTTCACCCCCGCACATTGTGCCACAGTCTTTCACATGTTCAACCTCTTGGGGCAAGCTGCGAGATATCATGTTCACAGCCTTCACTGCGATTCTGCTGGCTATTCCCAGCAGGGCCGCTGACCTTCTTTGGCTGAGCCAAAGCCGCCGCGAAGTTTATCTCAAATGGCACTGGTTACACCTCTCAGTCGAATGGAACCATTCGGGTGTGTCTTTTTTTGAGGGTACCCTTTCTGAGGCTACCCTTTTTGAGGGTACCCTTTTTGAGGCTACTCTTTTTTAGAGGCTACTTTTTTGAAGCCAACGGACACACATCTCCCCCATTTTGGATCAATGGGATCCCGAGGACTTGCCGCAGTGGCTCTATGACATCTCGGCGCTGCCCAATGGCTACGTGCTTCTGGGGCTCTTCGGGCCCTGCACCACGCCGAGCTTCGAGCAGAAGAGGCGCACCGCACCTCGGTCCGCTCGAAAGCCAAGTGGAATCCCTTGAAGTTCTTTGGTGGAGGAAGTATCCCCAAAGACATGTGTGAGTTGGCTCGGGATCTCTGGTCACTTAGGTTGTTTTCACCGCAAAAGCAAGTAAGCCTGGCAAACAAGACATATCAATGTAGCATTCATCCTTGTGTGTCCTGAGCTATCCTTGTCTACAAGGATTGAAGCACTGCCCTAGGTTGCAGTGACCGCACACGATCGGCAGACGAATCACGGCGGGATTTTTAGCGGACCAACATCAGAAGAGACACGATAGCCTCTTAGAGCAAAAAGAATGCAAGCGCTTGAGTTTGCTCAATTTTGCCAGATCCTTTTCCAATTCCTGCGGCGAGCGGGCACGCAAAACGAAGCACGACCTTGCCCTTGCGAAGCGGCAACTGCAGTGCAACCTCCCAGCAAACAGTCAAGGAAGGCAGTTTGCTGCCAACCGTGCCGTTCGGACTGAGAAGAGGACCAGGAAGCAACAGAGATATAGTTCACCAGTTCCCAGAATTTGTCAGTTGGCTTTTGCCACACTCCTGAGCTTGCGACATATGACGGTCCGATTTAGGGTAAGCTCAGACCGGCTTCGCAGCCCCTCTTTCAAGTGAATGCGAACCTGTGGTGAACCAGGGTTGCTCCGAGCCTCATGATGACACTCGAAGGGTAGACGGTGCTTCCTTTGGTTTCCTGGGCAACCCTGACACTTCTGCCAGCCAGTCGCAATGGCCGAGCTTGAGGGGAAGCTTCACATTGCCACAGCCAGCGGGCAGCAGTTTGACGTGAACGTCAATGAGAGTGACACGGCCCTTGTGCTGAAAGCCAAGCTTCGTGATCGAATGGCGGAAGGGTTGACCGATGTGGCGCCGTGTGCCGCAATGAAGCTTCTCCATGACATGGGCATTGTGCATGATGACTGGGTCTTGAAGGATCACGGGATCATAGATGGAGAGCACCTGACGCTTGTGATTTCTCTTTTTCCATCAGGAACCTACAAGTTTGTTTCGGGCAGAGGCAATGCCCCCGCTGGGCGCAATACTTCGGCGAGAGTTCAAGTGTCCTTCCATCCAGAGGGCGGTTTCAATCTCAGCATCACCGAGACTGAGATCACCTCCATTACCCGCTTCCCGGACTATGACCCATATGCGACCGGCGACAAGTATGATCACGAGTACTCGGGCAAAGCAACTGGCGACGGGACACAGATCATACTCAAAGTCGCAGATTTCCAGCGCAAGGGCATCTGTTTTAGGTCCGACCCCCATGCTGATTTGATAGGCGAAATGGACTCAGCGGACAAAATTCGGCTACAGCTTCCATTTGAGGCTGGCGGGTGCAATCAGGGGAAAGCTGGCTTGAAGTGGATAAGCCTATCCTCCTTCCAGGACTGCAAGTTGCCAGGGTTTGTTCTGCCGGAGCTTAGAAATTCAACACACCGAGATACTGATTGAATGTTAAACAAACAATTGACAATTGCCAGGCGAAGCCGTTTTCAAAATGCTGTGCCTTCCCCTGAAAAAGTGGGGTCCCCTTTGGGGCAACTCATAGGGTAAGCTCTAACTAATCAGGTCACCTGAATTTTGTGCTTTGGATTGGTGGATTGCCGGTGGGAACCTGTCCTTGCAGTGGGAAGACACAGGAGGCTGAGAATGAGGAGGAGGAGGAGGAGAGTGATGATCCTGATTCGCCATTCCAGGGTCCATTTACAGATCCGGTCGCTCCAGAGCCTGAGCAAGCCCGCGGGAAGTTCAAAAGCTGCGTTTTAATGTAGCTGTGTGCTAAATAGCACGTAATGACTTTCAACAAAGGCAACAGAGAAAAAAAGAGCCAAGGTTTGGTGGTTGCCAGATTCTTTCTTTGGCACCCAGCTGTTTGCGCCGCATTGAGACCGGGATAGGCGCAAAGGACCACGCGAGACGAGGGCGAATCACAGCTCAAAGTGGCGCCCCAAGGGTAGCGAGAGAGACTAAAACGGAAAACAAAAAAACAACCGGGCTGCAAATGCGCAAGTAGGCAACCGGGCCCTATTCGCCTTTGAGGGAACGCAATCATGATGTAAGCACGTTTAAATCATCAGAAACCTGATCAAACCGACCATGTCAAGAGGTTGTTTGAAGCATATTGGTTGATGGTGGGTTTGTTTGCGTGTTTGACAGGCTGGCTGCTTTTTTTTTCTTCTTGTTTGTCTTCTTCTTTCCATTGCTCATTGACGCCTCTAAGGTATGCCTCGGAGAGGATACGGATGCTCTCAAAGGCCGCAACGACCTGTTCCGGCACGGGGACGAGTGGGAGCAGCAGCGGGGTAGGAGGCGCTGGGTGTGTTTGAATCTGGGGTGATTTTGACTGTTTGTCAGAAACTGGGAATAGCACACATTTACCTACCATGGGGGGGGGGGGAGGGGGGGACTTTGTGAGTGGTAAAATTTACGGGCCAGATCTCTCCATCTCTCTCTATGATTTAGTGTTAAGTTTGTGCACTTGCGGTGACTCCTTGCTCGCTGCCGATGTTTTTCACAAAGAGAGCCTTGGGCCACTTCAGGTCTGCTCGTGTGGCGTCAGCGTTTTGGAGTGCCAGGTTCGAATATTTCATCTACACAGATGACAACGGGGAGTTCAACTTCACCCAGGACTGCACCCCCAGTTTCTGCGGGGATGCGGCGCTGCTGCCGCAGGTCGGGGGTCTGGGGTCTGGGAACCAACCATGAAACTTGAAAGAGGGTCCTCTTGGGCACATCTTCCAGCAACCAGGAAGGTCCCCCAAATTTTGGACGCCATTTGTGCTTGGATGGACCTGTGTGCATTGGGGGAAGTTCGAAAAAGAAAGCGCCAGGCGGGGGAGCTGCCTGGGGAGTTCTTCCAGCGCTTGCTGCTGGAGGAGCAGCCGGCGGTCGCCTCCCCCATCATCGTGGAGAAGAAGTGCCAGCCGGGGAGCATGTGGCGTGACTGCGGGTGGGTGACATTTCCTCATGATTCAGCTTGCTGGTTGATCAATCTGGCCCCAACATGGGCCACTTTTGCAATTGGGTGGTGACGCTCATCTTTTTGGTGCTTGCCGGCCCCGATGCTGCTTTCCCGACTCTGGAACCCTGCCCTGTATTGAGCGACAGATTGGCTTTTCGAGGGTGGGTGCCGGTTTTCTTTGAGCACACTTCCTAAGTGCGGCAATCAACTGGCCGTGATTTT